AGAAACTCCTGTCTTCCTCCCACAACCTCTGGGCTTCTGCTGCGGACATGCACCAACGCTACCGACGTGTGTCCCGTGCCCTCTGCCCCTCAGCAGCCGAGGCGGGCGGCGTAGCGTTAAAATTACTAGCTTCTCGAGCCTGTCCTGCTCCAGCAGCTGCTCGGATTATCCAGGGACTCAGGAACGCAGGACCAAAATCCAGGTCTCGATACGCACAGAGAAGCCTCAAGCCAGAATTCGGTTGCGGGATAATGGAAGCATCTCCGTAGCAAACGACAGGAGGCAACTGAGATGCGTGTGCTTCTTCCTTGTCACCGTGTCGTCTATGTGGCTGCTCCGCACGTGAGGAACGGGGGAGGTGGCGGATGCGAGTTCTTGCTGCGGCCTATCCATCCTGGGTCCTGGGCCAAAGCGAGCCTTCATTGTCATCGTCTTGTCTTGCAGCCTGAGGAGCGCTGCAAGCTGGCCGACAAGCAGAACGATGACGAGGAGGAAAGACGTCGTGCTGTCGCCTTGGTCTACGATGGGAACTTTTTCGGGCGTCCTCTCATGAACGAGGGTCCTCTCATGAACGAGGACCAAAGCTTCTCGGTCGATATTTGTACCAAGGGGCAATCAAAGATGGTCATGCACAACGACTGAAGAAGGAAAGCCAAGGAAAGGTAACCTCTTCGCCGTGCCTTGGCTTCAAGCCGGAGCTACTAGCCTCGTGACGAATGGACCCAAAACGACATAAAGCTCCTTTCTCGTGACATGGCTCGTTGTAGCCACCAGCGTACAGCTCTTGCAGCTCTGCTCTAGATGCCAAAAAACCAAGGACGCTGGTAAGCTCCATCAGCCTACAGTTGAAGCTGCGAGGAACCAACAAGTTGTTGATGCCATCTGATCCCCCTCGATGGTGCGAGTACAGATTGCGAAACACACCTGGGCCCAACAGGGAGCGGAGCACGAATTGCAGAAACCCAGTCCACCATCACACTAAACTTCAATAAACGACAAGACATTCAGGCAGTGTGGCTGGCCAAACATGCCCCACAAAGCAAGGAGCTGGTCAAGCGCAGGCTCCTCATAAGGCGCCAAGTGTGCTGCGCATCTAGCTGTATAGAGAAATGCAATCTCTGACAGCTAATGGACACTATCATGGGCTGCCTCTGCTTCTACTGTGTAGACAGCGGTCAAAGGATCTTTGCTGTGCTTTCGTTTTCTGGAAAGTTGAAGAGACAAGCAGGAAGTTGGAAGTGACATCCCAAGATTCTTATCCTCGTCCTGCAACTCCCGATACTACACCTGAGTGACACATGCCAGGAGACACCGGTGCCTGTCTGAAGTCAAAGCAAGCCCCATGGAACCCATGGCATTGGAGCTTGACTGCTAACAGTGCCTTGATCGGTTTCAACGACTCAGAACTCGGACAGTGAAGAACAGCCCAAGACAAAGTTAATGATCGTTGGATCCTAATGATGACCTACTCCCTCCACGATCAAGCTCTACAGTATATCTTCACACGCTGGCAAGCCATAATCCGCATGGTCGCAAAAGTAAATTGAGAAACACAGCCCCCATGGAAGACATGCACGGTGAATCAAATGACTGTTGCGTGGCTTCCTGTTTCTCCTCTGCAGCTGCAGTCTCGCACTTACCCGCACCGTCCCACTGCTCATCGCTCTTTTCAAAAAGAGGAGCGGGCTTCTGCATTGCCGGCTGCAGACCCCATGATCGACTTACTCGGACTCTGTCTGCGGATAGAAGTGGTGGACTTTGATGCGCAGGTTTTCCTCAAGCTGACCTGACTTCTCCAAGCGACTTTTCACCTCGTTGCAAGAGCAAGGGACAACAGAATAGGCAAGGAGTTGTTTCTCCGATGTTGCAGCATGGCGAGAACATGCGGCTTCACACCATACTATGCATATGGAAACAGGCTCCACGGTCAAGCAGCAAAAACACACAGAAGCATGCATGCACGTACATCAAGAAGCAAGCAGCGAACCGCCTACGCAAACAAACGAACGAACCAACGAAACAACCAACCAACCAACCAACCAACAAACAACGAACCAACGGACCAAGGACAACCAAGGAACGGAGTCAAGAAACCAAGAACGAACAACGAACGAACCAACCAACCACAAGCATCCACCAACCAACCAAACCAACCGGCCAGCCAACCGGCGAAGCAAAGAACCAACGAGTCAACGAACCAGCGAACGACCAAGCGAGCAAGCGAACGAACGACAATGAAACCAGCCCGAGTCAACCGCGATTCGTGAGGCAGTTACACAGAGTTTTGTCCGTGGAGGCATCATGTGCATGCCTGTCGAACAAACCAGCAAATTAGCAAAAAACTACAACACAAAAACTGAATGGCTGAGGCAGTACACACCGGTTTTTGCATGCGTGCGTATATAAACAGAAACACAAACAAATAGATCGCTACAGATATTGTCTATAGAGATGGAGATGGCGACAGAGAGCCTATGGTGCCTCCTCTGCTTATGCACCATCTGCGACAGGCATGCAGTACACTTGCCTTGGACCATCGGTCCTGTCCCAAGGCATCCCCAAACCTTATCCCCTCGGCTGCTGTGACTGAAAGTTTCGGGGGAGAGGGCGCCCTCCATTCAGCAATTGTCAACACATGTTCTCGATGGTTGGGGTCTCTCTTTTGTTCGGCAGACTAAGGGCTGAGCCACGGACGCGCTTGGCCCCCCTCCCCCCAAGTTATGCACTGCCCACGTTGCTTCCTTTGCCGGATGTGCCGTGCCGCTTCACCACTATCTACCCCTCTCGCTCTACCAGGCATGAGCATCTCTGTCTCGCTCTGTGGGGATCCACAAACACGCTTGATCTCTGTTAAACCAAATCTGTCGCCATAATGCTCTACGCCTCTATGCGCCGTGTGCAACTCAGCTAAGCCAGATGCAAACAGGAACAGCGGACTCTCGGCGAAGTGGTCGTAGTTGTCGCAGCCGTACGGTGTGTGGCACCAGAGATAGAAATAGCCCAGACCTATACAGCTGGTGCACGAGTGCACGATAGAGTCTGGTGCAACTAGTCTTCTCTTACGGCAAAACAAGAACTGAAAATTGGGCATTGAGCTTCCCTTGAAATTCTGCTGGAGCGCCAGAGAAGAAGGAAATTTGGACGTAACGCAGCATGAAGCGAACCTGCACATCGGCTTCGGGCAGAGCTATCCGACACACTCCCGAACCCAAGAAAACTGGCACACACACCCCCCCGGGGCAGTGGTGAACATGAACACGACCCATGGTGCGTTAGGCTCCATCGCACCTTATCGCGACTGAAGTATGGGAAGAAACGAAAGACCCAGTCCACCGGCACGAAGGGGAAGGAGTCAGTGCTGGCCTCGAGGCAAGCACAGGCACCATCAGGAACATCCTCACACTTCGAGGCACGGCCTGCGTCAGGCTCCGGGGCAGCGTAGCTGTCCGCAGAGCCAAAGCTGCTCGGAGCAGAGCCATGGCTGTCACGAAAAGGCGAACAAAGGAGCCGGAGCCTCTGAGCCTCCGAGCCAAACACGCGGAAAGCCTCTCCTCACTTGCTCAAGTTCGCTCATGCGCACAGGCTTCCAGCTCCTGAGCATGCGCAAGGCATATAGAACCCCTGCCTTCCTCACTCGCCGACAGCAAAGACGGAGGGGCCGAGCGTAGTAAGCAAAATGCGATGTTCTCAGTGTTTGAATGAAATACTGTTTGAGCCTGTTGGGGTGCCAGAGAACAAGAAGTCAGCGAAGCCAAACTGCACAACCGCACAATGTGGCACAGCAAGATGGCATGCATGGCCAGCATGGTAAGCCGCGCACCACCTTCATTAAGCGGAGCATCCTTGCAGAACTCAGTTGTGGTGTGTATCAGCAGTAAGTCGCTGCTACAGCCTGCACAAACCGGCTGCCACCAAGACGCGTTCGACGACCGTGGAGGATGGAGATTCTGCCACAGCAACGAACCCTTCCTCTTGAGACAGTAGCGGCCGCGATAAGCACGCAAGATGCACGAAAGCAGTCTACTCTACTCCCAGTCCCAGTACTACCACAGCCAGCATCCTGCCAGCAAGCTGGCCCCCTAGAAAAATCCGTCCATACTGAGGACACTGAATATGATTAAGTCGAGCACAGTCTTAGTAGCGTTAAAGCCAATGCTGCAATGCCCACCAAATCGCACCTTGTCAGCCATCGAGGCAGCTATCTCGGTCGGAGCACCATCAATCTCCGGGCATTTGAGCAAGGCCTGCAGTGTCAGTGAAAAGCATTGAAGACTGTCAACTTCGAAACGAAGTGCCTGCGCAGCATTCAAGCACAGCGCCACGAAGGTGCGCTGGCCGTCCTTGCAGTGCGAGTGCGGCTATGCATCACTTCCGAAGGTCTGTTCCTTAGCCGCTCGAGTCACGCCAGCACTCGACCCCGTCCTCTCCTAACCTGTCCGTGCCGAATGCCTCCAGCTCGTCGATGTTGCATCTCCACACCTTACACAGCAGGTACGATCAACAGCAAACACCACGGCCAAGATAGACCAAGGGGGCCTGGTAGGCCCTGTAGTACTGGCCGGACTGGAACAGTGCAACACCTTCTGCCTCAACAAACGTGACGAATGTCAAGCAAAGGGATTGAAAGATCCCGTGAATCGAAGCCTCTGACAGCTACAAGATCGAGCACCTTTTGCCTCGACAATCCTCGACCCGAGGCGGCGGGCCTTATTCAGCTCGGCATTCTGGACCTGAGAAGCCACCAGTGCAAAAGCAAATCGCTTCACCCATCCAATCGATTCCAATCGCTTGACCACCAACGATACACATTATCTGCGGTGCTCAGAAACTATCGAATACTGCCTCTTGGCCGATTCAAAGGCCTACAGGGTCTGAAATCCGTTGTGAAACCTGCCCGTTCCTTTTATGCGCCAAGCTTTATCCCTATGGCCAGTTGGACGTACGGTCAATCCGATGCTCACACCTGCTGAAGCGGCGAAGGTTGCCGAGATAAGCAGGCAAGATTTAGCAATGAGCCGCTGGCGAGTCTGCCGACCTGCACCTCCAGAATCAGAACACGAATGGATTGAGGCGCCCGGGGGCCACTGCAGCGTCCCTTTATGGCCTGGGGCTGGGCCAGGCCGGAGACGGCAGGCGTCACCTCGAGGCCTGGGGGACTGACCCGACAATGCCCAGAATCTCCCGAACTGACCTTCAAACCGAGCGCTGCCTGCATAGCCGGCGTGGCCAGCCACCGACCCCTGAAGGCCTGCTCCGGTTCCGAGATGTTCCAGGGAAGGCCAAAATGCATTAAACGTCTGGATCTGCAAACTGTGTACGCCTGAATCCAAGTGCTGCATGCTTTTCTGAAAGAAGTTCTGCGGCCGCACCACCAGTAAGGCACGCGCGACAGGCGTCGATGGGGGGCGTCTGGCTCATGTTGTCCAACGGCGGACCTCTGGTTTGTAGAAGACTTCATCCCCGGATGAAGACGGTCTGGAAAGAGAATGCTGCCACTACAGTATCAGTTCTCCAAGCACCCGGCCGCCTGCGGTCACTGCCTGAAACTGACAAGCTTCAAGGCAAATCTGCAGCGGGTCCATTAAATTCGTGGTTACGGGACAACTCCAAGGTCATCAAAATTGCAGGCTTTCTTCAATCCAGTGGCCCGACAACCCCGAACACGAAACGGTCGGGCCTTGAGGTCAGGAAGATCTTGCGGCACTGCATCGTCCTGCCATGCAGACAACTTCGAGAAGGCAATCCGTGGACGTTGACACTCCGAGATCCGAGTTAAGCATCCTGTCTTGGTGGTGAGAGAAACTTGGCAAGGAGGCGCGCGAGGGAGGAAAAAGCAGTTGGCTATCTTCGGTTTCGCAGCTTCTCCCACGAAGATTGCAAGGCACGGAAACAGCCCAAGAATGAAACATCAGCACGCCAAGAGCCAAAGAAAGACTGAGTTGCAGCTGCCCTTAGCGCTTCACTGTGCGGCGAACACCACCTGTAGGACACCTGTTGTGGCTCGCTTGAAAGTCTTGTGGTGCTCGGGTTCGCAGTCACACTCTCTGTGGTTTCTGCTGGCAGGGCGTCCTTTCTGCATCACTGTTCAGTACCCTGCTTCTCCCCGTTCCAGGATTGCGACTGAGGCCGATGCGATGTAGCCTCAAAGCCCCCAAAAAAAAACACATGGCCGCATGAAGGCTGTGCTTCTGCCTCTGCCAGAATGCAGCTGGACGAAGGGAACCGCCCTCAACCTGTGTGTTACTGTATGTCATTGTATGTCCAGTTCTTTTTGCTCTCACCTCTTCGTCCTCGTTATTGTAGGAGCTCACTGTGGCTTAGCCTGTGGGTTTAGGCTCGGCTCGCTTCCATTTGTGCGCGAGGCCACCGGAAGCCCCCTGCGTTCGCTGCGTCACATCGGGTCACGAGTCCACGAGTCGCCTGGCTCTTCCCTGCTTGTAGACTTTCCCCTTCCCCCCTGTCGTGTCGTCTCGGCTTTTTCTCGGCTAGCTGTGCTCCAATCTTGCGAGACTCGTGCATCTGTGCTGGCAGGGCGAACCGGGGTCGTCTAAAGGGAGCGAGGCCTCTTCAGGCAATTGGAATCTCACGGTCCGAAGCCACGGCCTGCGCTGCAGGTGCACGGCACTCCGGGAGTGGCCTGGCCACCCTGGCCTTCACGGATGCTCCAAATTGCTTCGATGCGCTGCACATGCTCCCGTTTACGCTGGGTCAATTCCATTCTGCGCGCCTCACCCAGCTTCTGGCCTTCTCGGCCTTCTGTGATCTCCGACTCGGCCTGGGTGTACTGAGGAGCGAAAACCTAGAATCAGATCTTGACAGAACTGCACAACTTAAGGCATAGAGCATGAAAAAGCGTGACCGCCGACTTGCCTTTTGTGAAGACTTGGCAGCACATCCTAGCTACGGGTTGCTGAAGGCTTACACCCCAGCCAAAGAAGATTACCGCGCTGTCCTTCGGACTTCAGGCAATCCTCTCAGAAAATCCTGTAGCGTTTTCAGACGTCACAGCGCGGCCTTGGTCAGAGATACCTGCGAGCACAGGACTCTGTCTGCTTTCCGATACAAGAGAAGCGGAGCCTCTGTTTCTTCAGCCGCCTCTTCGAAAGAAGATCCACTCCGCAAAAGGCGAAGCGACTCGGCAGCACGGGAGCTGAAGAAGTTTGGAAGACGAGCACTGTGAGAGCAGCTCAGTCCGGCACAGCACTTCGCTTTAACTCATATTCCGAGCATACACGCCTGAGGTCCTCTAGGCTCATTTCGTGGATGCAAATCTGCATGCACAGCCTGGGCAGAATTGTAAGAGGCTTGCTCGAAACAAGTTTAGCTGAAGCTCCCCTGCTTGATTGTTTAGCCATAACGTGCCTGACTGGTCGATGGTCGGAGAACGTAGTGCTGTCAAGCAGCTCCTCAAGGAATGCCCAGGCATGCAAAGCATCACCCGAACATGCAATTTATTTGCCAAGAATCATATCGCAGCAAGCCTTCTTGCTTCACCTTTCGCCGGGCACGCCAGATTACGCGGTCACACCACGCAGGCGTGCGCTTGTCATCCTTGAACATGCGACCATCGACGCAGAGATTTTGGACATTCAGTGATTAGACCCTTTGCAGAACTCCAGACGGCAACAGATAACGTTCACATCATGCACTATACAAACACTCACCAACCGATTACTGGGTGCAGCAAGGCATCATACTGACCACGCAGAGCTTCAAGGAGTTTGACATCTTGCATTGCTTCGTCCTTGTTTGACTTGCTCATAGGGCGAAATTTGTAGCCTCACGGTCAGCAAATTCATCCCAGCTCACGACGACTAACGATTAAGCGGAGATGAGCTGGGAACTTGGGCGGAAGTCGATCGCAGCTTCTTCAAAAGCCGCAAATGAACCACTGGCAAGTCGTCGACGGTGCAACTCATCGCAATCGAGCCTGCAAATGTAAGTTCGCTTCAAACATCACTCACGAACCTGCAGATGCAATTGCTGCCAAAGGACAATCGTTGTAGCTGGTGCTGCTGTAGCAACGACAAAACCTGTTGCAGGACAAGCATATCTGCACACGAAAAGCAGTTTCGTGCTGCATGATGTAATACCCCCAACCACTCATGTTTCCCAGGCATCAGCGGCATCAACAGAGCCCAGCATCACAAACAGAAGTGTTTGCAATACCCGCTCCCATCTGAAAGCCAGCAGCCTCAGTCTGATGCATCACCTCTGTCATCTCAACGTCGCGCCAGAGTCGCATGTTCAAATCGCCTGCTGGGCATGGAGAAAATGGTACCACTTCACTGCATCTAATCAACCGGCAATAGTTGAACCTTTCGTGCATCAATGTTGTGCAGAATGACATGCATCTGGGTCCGCAATACCACAGCTCGCACACACTGGTTCTGCAGCTTCGCTCTCGTTCCGCTGGGCCAGCCGACAGCTGGCTGCGAACGCAACGCGTCAAAACAGCAACGCCTTCTCCAAAACCCGAACATCACATAAGTCACATAATGCTTCCGTCTTCGTGCCCGCCTGCCCAGACAACGAGGTCGTGCTCAAAGATATTGCCTTTTGGGGGGAACCGAGCATGAGATGAGATGGTGAATGCAGAATGCACCATGATCGCATGAAGGGTTGCGATAACACAGAATGGAAGACAACGGGCAAGCAGCACCCAGTCAGCACGAAGGGTAACCACTCCGAACAATACTCGAGACTTGCACTCCCGATCAGCACGAAGCAAATCGTTGAACTTTCCCTTTCAGAAAAAACTTTCTTTGACCGTGTTTAAGCTTGTCAGATTCTTGCGGTGAAAATGCTTGTTGTGTTCTGCATTCTTTTTTTTCCGTGCCGTTTTCCGCTGCACCTGTACTCTTTGTGCTCTCTACGTGTGGCGGCAGAACGCAATGAGGTACACGCTGAAAACAACAGACATCCTTGACATTTCTTTTGCAGTGTGCGCGAGCCTCACTTGAGGGCATCTCCTACTTTTGCTGAGAAATCAAGCGGGAACAAACAAAAACGGCTTGCTGGTGTTGTTTTGTTAGCTCCCAGCGTCTGCCTGACAAAATAGCTTCCTACTATATATGTGTTCGCGAAATCATAGCTTCAGCCAATGACTGAGGCCGTTTACACATCGCAAAACGAACACAAACGCGGCATGCCGTGTGGACTCACTCGTTTGCAAAGATGCCCTCATAGCCTACGACCAAGACCACGCACAAAGAGCAAACGGGCAAAAACGCCCAATAAAGCTCGTTTGCGCCACATGTGCAAGCCTCCTGACACACTCACTTGCTGTATCTTGCCGCTTGCCTGCACCGCTTACCGAGCAAAAAAGCGACAACAGAAAATCGACTGCATGTACAACCAAAAACTGCCTGTTCCAAATATTTGCAAACTGAAAAAAAAAACAAGATCTGAGAAGTTTTCAGGCCGCTTGTAAATGTGTAGGTCTCCAGAGGCCAGAACCAAAATTCGAACATTCTCAGAAGCTGCGGAAGCTGCAAAATGCCACTGAAGCTGCATGCGGCTATCCGCGGGGTCAGGGCCAGTCGCACTGGTGTCAGGGTCTGATGCGGTGGTGTCAGGGCGTGACGCTGACGTCTCCTCCTGGTTGTCACCCCCTCCGCCCCCCACGCCATTCCCATTCTATGCATACATATCTTAACATATGTATGAGTATAGGTGTAGAAGCATACATGTATACCTACCTATCTAGACGTAGATATGATCCGCTCTGATCTGCTCTACTCTACTCTCTGCTTTGTATTTTCACTTTCTACTTGTGCTATGCTCTGCTCTGCTCTGCTCTGCTCTGCTCTAGTCAAGCCGCTCTGCTGTACTCCCCTCTCCACTCCTCCACTCTATACTACCATACTTTACTATACTATACTATACTGTAAGAACCCTAAGCCCGACCAAGCCCTGAATATATTAAACCCAGGAACCATAAGCCCTGCACCAAACTCCCGAACATAACTACACCCGAGAACCCCAAGGTTTACTAAGCCCTGAACTGAAGAGCCCAAGGCCCTACACCGACCCAACAAGTCCTAAGCCCTGAACCTACCGCTCCTGAATCACCCATCGAATGCTGTAATAGATCGGCTCCAACATAAAATTAGCCCGAAGCCCTAAAACCAACAACCCAAAGCGATAAACCCAAGGGCCCCAACCCTAAATCGAATGAGCTAACCCAAAAACATTGGGCCCTAAACGGAAGAGCGCCAAACCTTTAAAAAAAAACTTAATCCACAAACCCCAGAACCCTAAGAGCTAACCCAAGAACGCCTTTGGATCCCATTCTACGAATGTTATACGGTATCATACTGTATCATGCACGATCTTGTGCTACATGGTGCAACATTAATTGAATTATAAGAGACTGCACATGACTGATGTTAAGTCCTATTGGGTGTTGCTAGATCAGACTACATGAGATTGTAACATCTCACACTACATCATATTATGAGATCTTGCGTGATTGATGGTATGACATGGTGCGGTATGATATGACATGGACTAACCTGACCTGATCTGTGTGATATGATGTGGTACGACATGACATGATACGTTTGATGTGATATGGTCTGGTGTGATACGACGCGATATGAAATGGCATGGTGTGATAGAGCATGGCATGAGGTGATGATCTGACATGACATGATACGGCTTTGTCTGGACTAGCATGGTAGGGTACAATGTGAAATGATATGATGCAACCTATTACGCTATTCTTCAGTATGCTGTGCTATGCTGTGCTATGATATGCTATGATATGCTATGGTAGGCTATGAAACATATATATATATACATATACATATACATATATCTATATGTGTATACATGTATATATGTATATATGCAT